TTCTTCCTAAATTAGACCAGGACGTCCTGCACGTTCAACACACAACACTTTAACCAGGATGCGCAATGAGAGGCAACATCCGGCCCTACTTCACAATGTCAGACTGCAGCATCAAGTTGTATCGTCGCAAGCACAGTTTGCCTTTAAAGAGAAACGACGCAGGATTTGCCATAACTTTCCATCCACAAATTAGCGACGGAATATAATGGCTGAGGTCCTTTCTCGGGAATGATATACAATGTATATTCACGCGAAATGCGTGTACATGTACTTCCGGATCAACGTTCTGCTGGCGATGTGTAGATGCATCGTATGGCTTTCGACAGTGATTAATATAAAGTATAATACCAGAACCTTTATCACTGAGATACAAGGCAACGTTGCTTTTGGCATTATCTAAGTGGGGTACAGCCAATGGGCCACCATCTGATTCAGACTGAACGAAGAAATAAGTGAGCTGTCGGAATGCAGAACGCTGAACTTTGAACTGTATTCGGCGTGACAAAGTTTTCAGACCATTATCAAATAGACGAAAGCAAAAAGTACCTGTTGGGCACTGACAAACCTCGAACTAACAACAGCGAGTCATGGATTCCAACCTTGGATCACATTGTAAGTTTCTGGCACGCCAAAGGATTATTTCTGCACAGAAAATCATAGCGTCGCTGACGACTGGGCATCCGTCCCCATCCTATTCCCAACCCCCGCAACAAATCTTTCATCCAAGGGGCCTTGTGGTTAAAGCGTTCGCTCGTCATGCCGAAGGCCCGTTCGATTCCCCACGTATGTACAACGTTTGAAGCCCATTTCTGGTGTCCTCTGCTGTGATATTGCTGTAATATGGCAAAGGCGGCGAAAAACTAAACCCCCTCATTCACTTTCTCCCACCCCAGTTGTTTTCAGTTGTCCTGCTTTAAGTTGAATGCAGTTTATACCAGAGCAGCTGAAATAGACAAATCTGGCTTGTTGAGGTCGGCTATACATTCTGGGCGTTTCTACATATCGGAATTCAGTTCCTATCACGGATCAAATAACAGCCGGTGACAGTCACGAATTAGCAGTATCAGATATACGAGGTACAGTCAAAAAGTAGTTGGCCTGACCTAGTAAATTATACAAATGCAGCTGTTTTTATGTTTTGTTTTTCTACATATTATCTGTCAACCTCAAGCAAATTGGTTTTGCTACGTTCCAGCCTTACGATCCCCATTTTGTTTGAAATTTTATCTTGGTAGCCCCAAAAAGCGCAAAATCTGCAATAAATGCACCACAAACTTCAGGTAACAAAATATGCAAGAAACATTTTGTGTGTTTGAGATAGGTAGACGTCCGCTAGAATCAAACTTAGATATTAAAGTGCATAGAAAAGCAATTTGAAAGTATCCTCGCTTGTTAAAGTGATTCTCCCTTCATGTTTACTGAAACAGCTTGTTTTGGAGACACTACCAACCTCCTTTCAGACGACGATATCATAAGGACATAACTTATTCTAATGTTTTCACTTTTTCACACATGATGCTAAAGGTCACACAAGTGTCAACTCTCAGTATATTGTAAACAGGGCCAGCTTGAATATCTGGACACAATATTTTTGAAAGATTAAATGGGGGCGTCCTTAAAAGAAACAGCCCCGACTAAATATGAATCAAGCAATCCAAAGCTTTGACTCTTGATTATGACGGGAAGTCATCCAATACTACACTAACATATTTTATATGACATTATCTGAGGGCATACCATTATCCAAGAGGTACTAAATGACGGATCGTTTTTCATTTTCTGCATTTTTTCTAGAAATATTATACCCCAATGTGTTGTGTTGACTAATATCTCGTTAATCACATTACCCACATATGTGAACTTTTGGATATGGCTTTGTTAATGATTCCTTCAAAATAAACTGGAAGCTTTTCAAACATTGGACATCGAGAATATAGTTAGGCCGACTACTTTTTGACCGATAATTGGTTCTTTTTTCATTATTTGAATGATGCTTCATCTTTGGTTTTGACACGTTAACATTATCTCGAAAAGGAAAGAAGTGTTCTATAATGCAGAAGTCAAATGACGTCGAAAAATGCAGACAAAAACAGCGCAGACGTCCAATAATGCAGACGTCAAAGAGCGCAGACGTCAAACAATGCAGACATCAAACAGCGCAGACATCAAGCAATGCAAACGTCAAATAATGCAGACGACAAACAGCGCAGACAGCAAACAATGTAGACGTCAAATAATGCAGATATCAAACAATGCAGACGTCAAATAATGCAGATATCAAACAATGCAGACGTCAAATAATGCAGACCTCAAACAATGCAGACGTCAAAGAACGCAGACATCAAATAATGCAAACATCAAATACCGCACCCTAAAGAAAGCTATGGTTGTTGCGTAAGACTTATTTTGCGTCTTCCAACTATTACTATATGGCTTGCGTTATTTGACTACTCTATATTTCCTTGTTTTGATTACAAACTAATCTTCTTTACAAAGTTGGTATTATCTGCAGCAGATTCTAACTATTTTGTGAACATATAGACTCCAGAGACATCAGTCGTGACACTAAATTCGGTCGACATTACTCGACTGTTTGTAGTAAAACTATATACTGGAACCGCTTTCAGTTGGCTTTGAAACTGTTTCAAAATACGCGCTTTTGTACTTCTTTTTCTATATCGGGGCGGCGGGTTAACCTAGTGGTTAAAACGTTCGCTCGTCACGCCGAAAACCCGGGTTCGATTCCCCACATGGGTACAATGTGTAAAGCCCATTTCTGGTGTCCCCCGCAGGAATATTGCTGGAATATTGATGAAGGCGGCGTAAACTTAAACTCATTCACTCATCCACTGAGGTGATGACAAATATATTTTTGTATGATGTTACATGTTAATTTCCAGTTCCTTCATCACTCCGTACATTAATACGGCGTAAACCCTCACTCACTCACTCTTGTCTAAATCCTTACTAGTCTTATGAAGCTTTAAGTGTTTATGAGTCCTGTGGTGTTTATGTTTTGAAACATCACAACAAAACGCACCATCCGTAAAATACCCGTATTTAACAGCATGATTTTCATTTTCGGCGTGTAGTGTCACAGAATACACAATTCACATGCAATGCACGTGAAAGTTGGGGATCAGATAGTCTCAATGATGGGTATAAAAGGTTGATCGCTGTCTGTCGATAATTCACTGTATTTGGAATATTGCTGACGAACGCAAAATGCCACGTCTAAGTGAAGCCAACCGTCATATCGCCATTGGTTTGCTTGAAGCTGGCCAGTCTCAACGTGCAGTTCCCAGACGCATGAATGTTCACCAAAGCACCATTTCACGGCTATGGGAGAGATATCGCCGGCAGAATTCGGTAGCAGATGCCCCTGTAGTGGGCGACCTCGAGCGACCACTGCGGCGCAGGATCGCTACATCCGGGTACATCACCTGCATCATCGAACAGCTGCGGCGACCAGTACCGCTCGACAAATACCCGGATTGAGGAGGATTGCTGCACAGACCGTCAGGAACAGGTTGAGAGAGGCTGGTTTACGTGCCAGAAGACCTTATTTTGGCCCTGTGCTTCGACAAAAACATCGTCGACATCGAGTTCAATGGTGCACCAACGTTCAGGCCTGGAACCTACCGAATTGGCGTAGAATCTGGTTCAGTGATGAATCACGATTTCTACTGGAACGACGCGATGGAAGAATGTGGGTGTACAGACGTTTCGCCGACGCTTGCGTTCCCCAGGTGGACAGATTCGTCCGGGGAAGTGTTATGATGTGGGGGTAGATCACCTGCTGTAGGAGAAGTGGGTTGGTGATGATCCAGAGGAACCTGACAGCTCAACGGTACTGTGACGAAATCCTACGCCCACACCTCCTTCCAATCATTGATCGCCAGAGGGAGTTGTTTCAACAGGACAATGCCAGGCCCAATACAGCACGTCACACTAGAGACCTCCTCCAGACCACAACATCAATGTGCTCCCCTGGCCCTCAAGATCACCGGACTTAAACCCGATCGAACATCTCCGGGATGCCCTGGACAGACGGGTGCGACGCCGTAACCCTCAGCCCCAGACACTTCAACAACTCGCACAGGCACTACAGGCAGAGTGGGCTGCGATTGGGCAACACGAGATTCTGAGACTTATTCGTTCGATGCCGAGGCGATGCCGTGCAGTTCTGGATGCCCACGGTGGTCACACGAGGTATTGACTTCAGCGCCACCACACGTCTCCATGTGACACTCAAACTGACTTTCCTCGAGTTGGTGCACAAAGACGGATACGTCTGCATTCCCAGTGTGCAATTTCGCTATATTTCATTTACTCATAAAGCCTACAAGATGTTTCAAAATAAACATAAAAATACAGTTGAAATTCCTATATGCGTTTCTTTTTTGGGAGGGTATATTTAGGATTACACTTTCTTAGTAAAGTACAAATTCTAGTTCTTTTTTGGGTTGAGTCCCATTGGGGATTCGAACCCACACCCCCAGAGTCAGGCACCTTACTTGTCTTGACGAAGGTATAAGTGTAACATACGGTATATATGGGATTACACGTTCTTAGTAAAGTACAAATTCTAGTACGTTTTTGGGTTGAGTCACATCCAGCATTCAAACCCACACCCTCAGAGTCAGGCACCTAATCATCAGCACAAAAAGTCAGCCGCTCAGCTACCGCGACGTCCACAGGTTTAAGTGTTCCAGTTATGCAACTACGTGTCAGCTAAATGTGGGAGGAAATCCGGTAGTCAGACAGATAAAAGTCGTTTACACCTTATAGGAAACCCAATAGCGAGCTGAGGTATTGCAAACCTGGAATCATAATGGCAGCGGTCCGGATTCGTACACGTTCATAATTTTTTTAAAAACGTCACGATATATCACGAGGAATATGTAATAACAACTCCCCAGTGACTGACAACACTGTATACATTGTACATACATCCTCTTTGTAAATCTACTTCCTTGTGTAAGTGTGTGTGTTGGTCGGAGACATGGCGTCGACTGATGCTCCGTGCATGCTACATCTTTTGCTGATCTGTTTCCTTCAGGCATGTCTTTCTCAACACGGTAAGTTATTTACTCTAATTTGATTTCAAGGTTTGAGAATAGTAGCGTGTATCCTCCTGTCAAACACCATGTCTGTACGACTATATAACATATTTGTATGTAAGTGCGTCTGTCCACTCTCTATTGTATAACGAGGATCACAATTACGTTGTGTCCAGCATTGTATATATACAGCCACACAGAGAGGTATTTCAAACAGAGATCATGTGATATATCCATATCTATAAATATGAATGCAGTGTGCATTTATGAGGACTGTCCACATTGTTGAACCAAAATATACATATGAATATGTCAACACAACCTGACGAGGGGCGTATCAATAAAAAGAATACATGCGTCACAAAGTCACCCACAATAACAATGATCAGTTATTTCATAAGACACTTCCACCTCGTATATTCAACTACGCTCATTGGCATATAGCAGGTCAGCTGATCAGGGGCTTTCAGTCGTGATGTTTTCAACTCCCTGGGGAACCTACGCCGTCATCTACGATACCATCTACAGAGACTGGTCATATCCCATGATGCCCCAAACACATGAAACATGGATATTTCCATTTGCTTCTAAATACTGTAGACGTACGTGACACAGTTTGACAACGTCTGAAATGTAAATTTGCTTAAGGGCCAGAGGTAGAGATAAGCTGCGTTTCTTCGTAAATTACGCAAATATTCTTGTGAAACCTCAATTCCTATTAAGTCTATTGCGTACAAATAAGTTTTGTAAATACTCAATAAATTTGATCTAACATGCGTACACACACAAATGTCAAATCTTCAGCAAACCTACCAGAATTTGAAGTAAGCAGATCCATGTGCTACAGATGGAGGTTACTGGGGATAGATAGAATAACTGAGGTATATTGTGAGGTTCTATGTCAGCACATCAACTTGGCAACTTGCAGTCTTTCTTTTCTCATCTTTTCTCATATTACAGATCAAATATAGATAACACACGCGTAAGCCAACATTTAAACTTTATTATATTTTCACAGCTAATGGAAAATGGCAAAATACCCAATTGAGTTTGAGTGAGGAGGGTATAATTTATTTGGTTACCCAAAGGAAACTCAGGATGCCCAATTGAGATGAACACAATCGAGTACATAACCCAATGACCCCAAAAGTTGTCTGTAGCTCTGTTAAGAGTATTTTTGTAAAGTGTTTTGTCTCAAAGGGGTTAACTTTGCCTTAAAACAAGCTGTAACACAATGTAATATTTCAGCATCAGCCTTGTGGGAGTGTCACTGTACAAGCGGATGTGACGTCGGCTTCCGGTGCGCTAGTGGCTGTTTCAAGGGCTGGTCAGGCCCCACTTGTCAGATACGTGAGTAGAACAGTTGCCATGTTTGTATTCAGTACCTGGACTGTTGGCAAATCAACTTATGTCGGGCTTTCCGGCTACGCCTAACACACTACCAAACTTTGCCTCCACTCAAAAAACAAAATAAAAATACCTTACTCCAAAACAGACCTAACAAATAAAGTTAACAATATAATGATAAATAAATTCAATTATAACTGGCAAATAATAAGAAAACATTATCCATTCTACAAAATTCAACAAACACTAAATACAAAATGTAAAAATTATCGCCAAACACGCCGAATTGATGTTGTCATAACCAGACTAAGACTAGCAAATTGGAATCTTAATCACTATCTACACAAAACCAACCTTCATCCAAACGGCAAATGTATCACTTGCCAAATTCCTGAAACAATAGCCCACACTATCTTTGACTGCTCAAAATATAACAAACAAAGAACCCCATTCACCAATGCTTTAAAATAGTACCTCAATAATGCTAACCCTTCTGATCTCAAGGACATTCTAACAAAACCCAAATTAAATAAAACACTCACTAAATATCTTGTTCAAACAAAATCATACCAAACAATCTAGCAATAATTCCACTTTTTACCATTGTATTAATGTTAAAAACTATGTATATATGTTTTATTAACTTTTCAAATGAGTTCTCTCTTTTTATCAAGTTCATTTTTTAACCTTTTATATGTTCATCATTATTCACTTAACAAATATGTTCTTAAACAATAACAATAACAATAACCATTTATTATACTACATCTATAGTAAATTCCAAATCTCTATTACTCTTTACTTATTTCATATGTTTTCCCTTTCTAATTCGGCCTCCCATTTAAATTTCAAAGGAATCGTCGAAACCACCATGTCAATTTCTGTAATGATTTGATTACAGTGCCTATCAAATTTTGAATTCGTACTGACGTGTCTTTTTTGCTGCTGAGTATATATTAATTTCTTTGCTCATGCGCGAACATAACTTATGTTTCTTGTACATGCAACAGTTTCGACGGTGGTTTCGACGATTCCTTTGCTCGCGCTATGTCGGGGATGGGGTTGGGGGTTTGGGGGGAATGTATACCTGCGCGATCGAGTGCACAAGCAGTTTCATCGGTAGGGCGGATGACCAGTCGTTGTGAGAAGTTTTACTGACAATGGAAATCCGGAAGTTAAGTAATATGTAAAGCAAACAAACGTCAATATTATTTTCCCGAGATCGTTAATACTACTTCAGAAATTCAGTAAGATCAGTTGTCTGCTAGTGACAGGCAACATACAGTACAATCAGAAATTATTGAGAATTTAAGATTGTAATTTTTTTTTTCACTCATTACTCACGTATGAAATGTGAATGTTAGCAGAACATAACTCCAGATTCAAAGACAGGTGAACAGTTAGTATTTTGTCAAGTCACCATGGGCAGCAATGCAGGCTTCAATGCGGCGGGGCATACTACTGATCAAAGAAAGTCCATGCTGTCCCAATATCGGACCACCTCTTCTTTCATTTCGGCAATATTTGTCAGATTTTTCTTACTGACACTTTCCTTCATAAGTCCCCAAACAGTGTCTATTGGATTTAGGTCAGGGCTATAGCTTGGCCATTCTAATAATGTCATATTTTGGGTCCGAAACCAAGCCTATGAATGCTTTGAACGATGTTTTGGGTCGTTGTCCTGCTGGAAAATTCAAAAATGTCCATAGAACACGTGAGCAGATGGAAGTAAATGTCCCTCGAGAATATCTGTGTACCGCTCACTGTTCATATTCCCTTCAAATACACAGAGGGGCGTTGCCCCTAACACAGATATGCCACCCCATACGTTAAATTTAGGACTGTACTTTGGGCACTGATACACTAGTTTTTCAGTTTTTTTGGTCTAGAATTTCAGTGTATTAGGAAACAGCCACACAGAACTTTCATCTGAGAAAATCACATTTTCCCAGTTAAAATGTCTATGTCCTTGTTATCATACTCTAAAATCAACTTCCTCTTCCCTAATTCATCCATACTGAGGATCACTGAAAATGTCGTCTGCTAGCAAGTAAACAAAGGGGGATAACTCTTCACAAACTAATGAAAAAGGATTAACGGAGTTGTCTTTCCTGAATGAAACCAAGCACTTGATAGCTGGTCGAGGTTGTTTATACCAGACATCCAATTAAACATATTCCTAAAATTCTCAATAATTTCTGGTCATACTATATAAGTAGGGAGCCACGTGATCACAACACTCACTCGCAATGCGGAGGGAAAAGTATGGCTCATAGTCGAAAACCCATACAAAATCCCTGGATGTGGAGAACTGCAGCGGTTTCGCCGATACGATGTCATCAGCGCAATTTTTGTAGGTAACACTTGATATATTTGTGTGAAATAGATGAATATATCCTTTATTACTCAAGGTTAGTAAAATAAAAACTTTAAATGATATCAAATATAAAAATTACGCTTTTGCCTTACATCGTCGAAAACCCCTGATACCGGTCAGTTATATATGTATATAATTTATTAAAATGACTTACATTGATAACCTTTCCTGTTTAAAGATGCTTTAAAAAGCTTCTAGTTTTGTAACTTGGACATACTATCAACAGCGGAAGACCAATTTGTTAAACTTTATCTTTCATCGTTTGCTTAACCACACAAGCATAAATCCTTGTGTACATAAACTAGTCATATCTTTAGAAACCCAGTTTCATCTACCACCACTATCATATAGTATAAAAACATATTATATGTCTTCCTAATCTACCTATGTTCTGGCATCATTAAACTTTTTAACTAATATTTAATTGTCCTTTGAATTGTGTATACGAGTACAGGGTAGCGTCCACATTCACCTAATACAGCATAATTTGGTTTTCTTCTAGACAGCTGTAAATATATTTTGCACGGCCACAACTCAACATTGGCAATATTCTAGTGTACAAGACAAGACAAGACAATTATATTTTCTCAAAAGCCACCCACGGTGGTACAAGAGAAATAGATATACACATACTACATAACCAGACAAGAATGGTGGTATCAGTAGCATAGATTATTTCAACTGTTCAAAAACAATATTTAGATATTTCGAGAGGTTCTTCGATTCTGACACTTTTCTTGTACAGATTAAACGTTTATATTTGTACATATTTGGCCATTTAAAATAAAATTCATATATATAAAGACGACGTTCTGTTTCAAAGGCTGTACATCTAAATAAGTAGTGTATTTCATCTGCAATGGCTTGAGAATCGCACAGAAGACATGTTCTGTCCTCACGGGATAGGCTACGCCATCTGCCGGTTTCTACTGGAAAATTGTGGTTACTTGTTCTTAATTTCAAAAGCGGAAGATCCACTGATTTTTCGAGAAGTAAAAATTGTTCGAAAGACAGGATTTCTTTAATTGGTTTAAAAAAACATTGAAATATTTACCTTTAATGCCATATCTTTATATTTTATGCCACATTTCAATTTGCCAAACATTATCAAAGGCTTTGGAGAAATCAATAAATGTACAATACAGTTTTTTATTTGCTGATTTAAAGAGTTGCATAAACATGTTAATTGCGAATAAATTGTCTATTGTGGAAAAGCCTTGCCGAAAACCTGATTGAAATGACGATATAATGTTATTACTTTCTGTAAATTTAGTCAATCGATCATTCAAGATACTTGTAAATAGTTTCCCAAAACAACTTACTAGTGTTATTGGTCTATAATTATTTGGATCGTTTCTATCTCCCTTTCTATTGTAAATAGGCTTAATAATACCGCATACCCACAAGTCTGGGACACAACCTGTGTCTAAAACAAGGTTAAAAAGAGTCACATAAACATGCCCAAGCTTTTCAAATGATTTGACTAAATATTCGTTCATAACTTTATCTGTGCCTGCAGTCTTGTTTCTGTTTAAACGTTTTAGGGCATTTGCTATCTCATTCAAGGTAATTTCCTGATTCAAAAACTGTGTCGTCAAAGTCTTCTTTTATGTAATTACAAAACATGGGAAAAGATTTTACTCTGTATAACGTTATCGTTATTACAAATGCGTAAAATACACCCCAAAGCCCTTTCTGACTCAACAGCACGTTGGCTAACATCAGGATATTGTATTTATTTACAACTGACAGTTCAGTACCTTTTAAAAGCCATTTTTCTCTAACTACTAGTTTTCCGCCTTTTCGGAATACTATTATATTGGATTTAGTCATATTTACGTTTAGACCAAATTCATCAGAGAAATTACATAGAATATAGCATTGCACTTTGCACACAATTGCTTAACAACGCATGATATGGATTTACAACTTCTTTATATTTACAACACGATGTTTCTGGGCTACGTCTTGTCCCTTCATCAGGTGATTTGATTCCTTCATCCGATGAGGGGGCAAGAAGTAGCCCAGAAATATCGCGTTGTAAATATAAAGAAGTTGCAATTGTAAATCCATACCATACGTTGTTATGTTACCGTAAGTTCCAACTTCTAAATGCCCATCACGCATCTGACACATTTGCTAATCATACAATGTCATCAACAAAAAGAAGTAAGTACAATTTCATTATATCCGACATAAGTTGTATCCCATAACAGTTTGAGGATTCAATATTAGTTGCTAACTCGTTTATATAAAAAGAGAACAACAATGGACTCATAATACATCCTTGTCTGACGCCCATAGGACATTCAAAGAAGCCAGTTTACAAGTGATTGTTTCTAACACAGGCAGTGCCATTCACCGTATCAAACGTTATTTTTTTAAACCATTAAACGCAGCCTGCATCCTACCCTTTTTCTTGCAAACGCTTATTTCAATAACAGAGTTTAGAATAAATATTTACATTATCTATAGTTGAATAACCATGTCTAAAGCCTGCTTGCAATTCTACAATTTTGTCATACATAACTGTACACAAACGTATTCTAGTGATGTATATGACTGATGTAAAAAATATGCCAAAATAAATCTGGAATCAACTACCCCAGCATAAAATTAATAGCTG